ATTTTCATTTTTTCTCCTTTGAATTGTTTCTTTGTGAATTTGTATGTTCATACTGTGTATATAATGTGTAACAAACTTCGTAGCAGAATGTTTATCCAATTTCAATAATCGAAGTGATCGTGGCATTGTTTTTTTTGTTTACTTCGGATTACGTAGACTTGTCCCCGTGGAATTATTTATGTCCCAGGAAATCGATTAATTAACTTTTTCAACGTTGATGTGATTATTCAATTGAATTTTCCCCAGGAAATCGATTAATTACTTTTTTACGTGAGTTATTTCGATTTGTGAAATGTTTAAAAGAAAAGGAATTGGACCACTTGCTTCTGTGAAGTGTGTATAATTTTTCGGAGAGCCCATAATTTATAATAATTTTTTTTTCGGCTTAAATTTGTTATAATTTTTGCAGATCTGTTGCACGATTGTAGATTTTTTTTTTGAAACTTCGGAAGAAGGTATTCCTTGTAGACGTCTTTCCTTCAAAGCTTCGAAACGTTTGTTCCGTGCTTTTTCTATTTGATTAAATATCCCGAAATTTTTGATTTGCGCGTAAAAAAAGAAATCGAGAAGAATTGATTGGTTTTGTAGATTTTTTTTTTTAGTTCGAGAGCTTCCAGGATTTTTCTTCAGGCGGTTGTTGGAGCATGCGAATTGTGTGGTTTTTTTTTCCATCTGTGGTTTCGCACGTCTTGAGATATGGTAGATTCAAATTCCGAATGGCTGACGTTTTATCATTACGTCTTCTTTTACTTTTACAGCCTTCATATTCTCTGTGTTGAGATCTTTGTCTTGGTGAGAAATTCCCATAGGAAAAAAAAATTTTCGGGGTTGTTTCGTGAGTGTTCCTCCTCGGGAATTTTCTTGATCTGATGACCTTTGTATGCCAACGAAAAAAAGCGGTTCGGTGGTGGCGGCGGTTCAGCAATGCCACTTTTTCAATGGGAGTCGTATTTTTGTTTTAATGAGGATGATTGTATTGTTGCAGCGGATATGAGAAACGTCCAGACCGAGGTTTCGGTTGAAGAAAGGACGTGTCTCTTTGATATCATTGGAGCGTATTTTGAGTATGGTATGACCGTGGCTTTTACGGCTATTGGAAGAGGTGAGTGATAAAAATTCACTGGAATATGTTCCCATAAATATGCGTAAAATTTATGATTTGTTCGAGATCTTTTTTTTATGAGCCAATTGTCTACGAGTTCTGAGACGAACGTGTCCGACGTTGTTCATGAGTTTATTCGTGGAATGAAAGAGGGAAACAATTAATAACGCGCTGCTTGAAATATTTATGAAGAACTGGACTCGAGGCATTTTTCTTCGTGTGCGAAAACGTTGGCTGCTTTCCTCTTGTTGAATAATTGATCGATCTTCGCGTAAATTATTTTGAGCTGTGCTGATGCGTCACGAAATGAGGAGTTGGTGTGACGAAACTTACCAAGAATTCAGGAATTGAATGCATAATTATTCGTTTAATTTAATCTCGAACCTTCTTTTGATGGGCACTTGATTGATGTGTAGGAAATTTTTCTGGGATGATCTCACTGGCAAAAATTTATAAGCCTTTTAGTTGTGAACTAGCAATCCAAATTCAANTTGACTGACTCGATTCTCAATGATGAACAGCAGTGAAAAATCAGATTGGAACTAGAAGATTAAATTTTTACTTATGCAGATAGACTCTCTAAAACGATTTCATTTGTACAGTATACGATTTTTTTGGATCTCTACCCATTGAATAGGTTCTAAAAACTTTTTTTCTGGTTCCCTGAATTTTGTTGTACAGAAAGTCTATATGTACCGTAATAATTTGTGCGAATAGGCAGAAAATCTGTAGTTTTGGCAATTTCAAATTTTGATAATTTACGCGAAGAGGTAGAAAATCAATGGATTCAGTATTTTACGAACTCGAAATTCTCATGGATGTTGAATTGATCGCATATTCTTTTTTCTTCAGCTGTGGCGGGTAGACCGATAATGGTGTTGCTGTACTCGGCCGCCTTGGTGGCTGTTCTGTCCTGGGGCATCAAGTCACTTGAGGTCATCACCGATCCTGTCGAGCTGTGGTCATCTCCGAATTCGAGAGGAAGAATGGAAAAGGAATACTACGACTCTCAGTTCGAACCTTTCTTTAGGTCAGCTGGTTTTTTTTTTAAACAATTGTTTTTGGTCTAGGAAATTATTAATGATGAAGATGAGGAGCGAATTTATTTGCGTGCGGAATCCGGGGTTTTGATACGGTATCTTCTCGAATGTACGATTGCCGTTTTTGAGCAAGGCATGATTGGGGAAAATTTTACGTGTGCCTTCAGAATTTTTCGTGCTGACTTCGGCAATATTTCTAGATTCTAGAATACTGCATTTGAATCAAACTCCCCAACGTTTGGGAAAGATTGAGAAATTTCGAAGATTTTTGAGCCCAAGGTGACATTTTCAGGGTTATATTCTGGAATTTGTTACTGTAGTAATTTCTCCAGATGTTCATGCCCTATAATTTTCATTTTATTTTTTTGGTTGTTCATCAGGTCTGAGCAGTTGATCATCAAAGCCATTGGCTACGACTCGGTGAAGCATCCGGATTCAGGAGAAGTTTGGGGCCCTGCGTTTAACCAGTCATTCTTTCTGGATGTTTTCGATCTGACGAATTATCTCCAGGAAAAGGTTTGTCAGCTTGATCCGTGTTAATATTAAATTTTTTTTTTCCTTCTCGCCGAATGCCTTTCGAGAAAGAGACATGCTGGTAGCTGCTGTCGTGTTTTCATTGAATGATGGATTGGAACTCATCTCTTTCAAGGCTCTTTTTGTGCAAGTCTGATTCCGTCGGATCTCTTCACGAGGATTTTGATGACTCCTTTAAATTTTCCATTGAAGGAACCTTATTGAGAAATATGTTGCAATAATGGGAAAGGGAATCTCAGGAGCGAAATATGAAGAGAAATTGTAGTTCGGTTTTTTTCAAGGTTGAGTTTTTCTGCCCTTAGTTTTTTTTTTAATTCAAGTCGTACAAGATTTACAGGATTAGTTGGATGTTGTGAAATCGATTTTTCTGTCTTATCTTTAATTGAAAGACTGGGTTAGAAATGGTTCGAAGTAAAATGCCGATTTTATGCGATAACTTTTAAGTTTTTACAATGTGCGTAGGTCTGATTGAACCGAGTCTCTTACGATATTCAAGAATCGGAATGGTGAAAAAGTGAGCGAGGGAAAAAAACAATAGTTTCGGAACGGGTGAAAATGGAGTAAAAATTAATGCCGAACGAATCAACCGCGTTAAATATGGAATATGTTCTCATTGAGAAGGCTGTTTTACTTTGTTTTCCATCTTGATGGACTTCGTGCAAAATTTAGTGCCATTAGAAAATCGATCGAGAAAAAAGTAATAGCTTGAAAATTATTAACGTATCGGTAATTATTTGACTTTTTGGGTTCCGTAGCATGAAAACATCATCACATCGAACACAAATTATGGCATCTTATGGCTTAATGTTCCAGTGCGTGTAATCGTGATTTAAATCTCGTATCCGTGTGAATTTTGGCGAATTTCCGTGAGTTGGTCATTCATTTTCAACTCAACCAATTAAATGAACCTGCCTTGAGGAATATATTTACTGTAATCGCGGATATTTATTTATTTGAAGATGCTGAGTTGTTTTGGGACAATGATGAATTTTATCTTGGATATTGGAGGATCAAAATCCCTAAGAGGTGCTTTTGGCTCAAGTGCTCGACGCGGTATTCTTAGAAGCAGAAGAGAAGAAGGAAAAGTTCATTTATGAGTTATTGTATTTCTTGTTTTTTTTTTATGTATTGTTTTCAGTTGCGTGCCCCTTGGGGATCGGATTTGCACGAGACGAACGAAACCGTGGGCTTGGCTGACGTTTGTTTCGCCCCGCTGAAGCCGGACAACCACAAGTGCGCCGTCCAGTCCGCTTTCCAGTACTTTCAAAATTCTCGAGCGAAAATCGGCAACCGCAACAGCTTTTGGCGCACGCTGGACACGTGTGCCGTCAGCAATCACGTGCAGCTAGACTGTCTGGGTGACTTTGGAGGACCCGTGGACCCGAAGCTGGCCTTTGGTGGATACCTCAAGGATCCGAAAGCTGGACTCGAACGCGCTAATGTAAATACACAATATAGTATTTATTTTGTCTGTATTACTCTTCTTTTGGCAAAGTCGAGCCAAAGATCGATTATTTAGGTTGGCTTTGTTAAGCTGTGTCTAAATTTGGTTTGTAGAGAAGAAGCTAACGACTCGCATAATTTTTT